TTAAGTTAATTTTGATTGGATATTAGATTGATTTTTGAGGAGATATGTTGTAAGTTTTAAGTTGTTTGTGTTGTATAATCTTCAAGGATTTGTTTAGAGCAGTTTTTCTATAGAAAAAGCTTATGTTTTTTCTGTTTTTGAGGCTTGGGTTTGTTTAGGATAATTGATAATTTGAGGGTAATAATATTATAGTCAGGTTCGATTTGGTTGTTTGAAATTATATCTGTATATTTGATATTGGTGATTGAGAGATTTGTCTAGATTTGGTCAATTCTACTCTGAGTATTAAAGCATTGAAAAGTAAAGCTTGATATATTGGGAAAGAAAAAATAATAAATATTCTTAAATTGTTGACTTTGTAGGTATTTAATAAGTTGAAGTTTAAGAAAAAGGTTTTTTTAGAAGGGGAACGGTCTATTCTTGAATTGGGAACACCATTAAAGTTTCCCATAATTATAATTTTATAATTTGAATTTTGTGTAAGCAGAATGATTTGTTCTTGGATTTCTTTGCAAAATTGTTTTTTCTTATAAATAGAAATATAAATTTGAAGTAGGTGAATTGGTTGATTTTTGAAATGTAGATCTAGACCAATAATATGGTCTTTATAGTTATGAGTACGTGCTATATATTTGTTGATTCGATGGTAGATAAAAATGCCAACACTAGCCTAGTGTAGTTGTGTAAAGAAGCTCTAGAAACTGTTGAAGTTTGGAATTTGATTTTTAAAGAAGTTTCCTTCTTTAGAAGAGAGATATGTTTTTAGAAGGCCTAAAATATCAAAGGAGTTATTGTTAAGTATCTCAGAAAGTGAGAGTTTTTTGTTTGATTAATGAAGACCATTAATATTTAAAGAAGCAATTTTGATAGAAATAAATAAATATTCAGGTTGAAGAGAGAAAGAAGGGGTTGATGCATTTGATGTAAGAGGTTAAGAAGAAAAGGAGAGATTAGAAAAGTGGTAGATTGAGTTAAATAGTGATATTGAAGAGAGAGGCTAGTTTGATTTAAGAAGAATATAACTAAACTGATAAAGTAAAGAGGAGAAGGGTGGTATAAAATGGTTAGAGAGTAGAAATAGCTCATATGGAAGATAGATATATATCTCAATATAGTTATTATTGTAATTTTTGTTGTTTAGTATTGAGATTTTAATAAGATCTGTTAAGTAGTGGGAGAAAAAGTTATGTTTAATATATTGAAGGAAAGTAAGGATGGTTTGTGGGTACTCTAGTAGTAGTAGTCCATGATAAAGGAGAAACTTGTTGTAACAAATAAGAGAGTCTATAAATCTTAGTTTCTCAGTTAGTTGTGTTATAGTTTCAGATTGTAGATTGGAATCTGGAAGTAGTTCATTGTTATAGTTTAAATTTGTAGAAGGTTGGTCAGTTAGGTTTAATGAAATTGGTATTGTATATGGTTCATAGGAGATTAATAATATTGAGAATGAGACTACAAAAAAAGTGTCTTCTATATTGGTCACCATTAGTGATACAAATCAAAAATCGAAAAATCGATTAGTTGTCAACTAATCGATAAATCGAATGAAAAATTTTGAAAAAAACAACTAATCGATTGAAAACTTTTGTCAATTTATAATAAAATAATCGACTAAAATCGATAAATCAATTAGTTGACAACTAATCAATTAAAAATTTTTGAATTAGTCAACTAATTGATTGGAAAATTTTTGACGATTTGGAACACTAATAGATTTATTATAATAAAGTTTCTACTATAATATTATATTAATAAGAAAAAAAAAAAAAGAAATATCAGTTAATTTATTCTTAGAAGCTTTACAGCTACGGTATCCTATATTAGCATTGTGATACAAAACACTTGCAATATTGTTCCCTTGTAGCAAATCTGCCATAGCCATAGCTAATCTACCTGAAATCTAATAATCAATGTCATTTAAATTCATAATAAACTTTTGCTCTAGTTGGTGTATTTCATTAATAAAAAATTTTATAAAGTTTTTAAGATTTTTACTAAATGATACTAATCTAATTATAAAATAGTTTTTGAGCTATTTTCTTAACCTTCATAGCATATTTTCTATCTGTAAATATATACTACCCAACAAGTAATAAGTATTACGAAAGGTACCAAAATCATCATAGTATAGATCTAAATAAAATTTAAAAACTAGCATATTTGGATTTGGTAGAAATTTGATAGATATACATTTGGTCAGATACTGATAATATATATAATTTAATTAAATAAAGCTTCTATTGACTATTATAGTTATATAATATTTGATTTATGAAAAAATCAATTATAGATAGAGCAGGCTAATCTTGTAACCAAATGCTAAGATGACAATTTAGTGATGAGAGCTCAATAAAGAAAGAATTAAATTCTTCAACCAAATATAGTTCTTGTTGTGAGTGTAAAACATGTTGTTTTGAGCTTAGATATTGTAAAGTTTGTTGATAGGAAAGTAGCTATTGAATTCTGATTAATATTTTTTTATCAACAATTATAAAAGATTGAATTCAACCAATTTTAATAGTTTCTGAAATCAATTTGTAGCAAACAAAATCACTACAATTAAATAAGCCTAAGGATTAAATTATTAAATGAATATGCTTAGAAATAATAATACACCTATATAAAATTAAAATATATATACCTTGTGTTGTTGTTAAATTTGGTTGGCCAAAAAGAGGAGATTTGGCCCAGAGATCACTTTTCTATAATTCTTCACATGATTTTGAAAAAACACCAGACCCAAAATATAATTGGGAGCTAAGAGATAGATTTTTTAATATTTGTTGAAGATATTCTATTAAAGAAAAGTAGTAGACTCACATAAAATCTTTAGTGGTCAATAGGGTATTTTTAATATTTACTAGGACCATATGACTGTAAATTTTTATTAATAGTAGCAGTTTATACTGCTTTTTAAGACTTTGCAAATTAGTAGTTAGATGTTTTATATCAAATTTAGAATAATGTAAAATTTGTACTAAATTATAGTAGGCCACAGTTGCTAATAAATAAATGAATAATAAAAAAAGATAAGTAATTTTTAAGTTTAATCATTACAAAATTAAATTAAATTACAAAACTTACAAGTTATATATTTAGTAGTCTATAAATATAGCAAGGTTTATAAAATTTTTAAAGGGCTCAAATGAGCATTTATGATTTCTGGATTTTGTTTTATCAATATCTTCGATAAGTCATCTATGTTAGTTGAAATCGGTTGGCTCTTATTATCTGAACTACAATCAATATCAGTATTAATTTCATTTTTACTACACATCGATATATCTTCTGAATTATTATAAATCAAATTGTCAAATTCTTGACCAAATTCAAATTATTAAATTCTTGACCAAATTCTGAATCTGTATTCTGTTCAGATTGTTGAATTTGGTCATAATGGTTAAACTGTAATGAAAGTTGTTGATTACTATAATTGCTATTTTGTGGATTTGTATAGTTCAAACTAGTATTGCTATGATCCAAGTTATTATAAAGTTTAGAAAAGTCATAGTTATCTAAATAAGTTTTTTTAGCACATAGATGTATATTATATAATTGCTGTAGTATACTTTTCTTAAATCTATTTCTAAAAGCAAACATGGCTCTGTATATATAAAGGAGAAACCAGGACAAAAAGCCAATTATGAAAACAAGACAATGGCAAGATCTGAAATTCAGAAAATAAATAAATCAGCACCAAGATAAATATATACATTTTCTTGTAAATTAGAAGAATTTGAATATATATAGTAAAGATAGACACAAACCTTAAAGTTTAGTTATTTCTACAAACTGCTTTTATTATATTTCTTTTATATATCAATTTTCAATATCACACTTTTTAAAATTGTGCACAAAATATTCGAATTTTAAATTCTTGTTGAATTTTTGTTAAATTTGAATATATATAGTAAAATAGCTACAAATTCTAAAGTTTATAGTTATTTCTATATAC